CTTGTATTTATTTCTTCCACTCTTGGACCTCCATATGGCATGGCGTTATTATGAAACTATTGTGATGGCTTGTATTCAGTATCTGCTTTGCGTAGATGCTCTCAATTTTCAGTCCTTTTGACATTTGCACTTTATATCAGGTCTCATCTCCGGCTTTTAACTCATGCACGATTCCGATCCTGAAAGACAGTACGCAAAACAAGTGCAGCTTTAAATGATTCTGAATCTTCGATCATGACGGCAGCACCAAAATAAAGCTCTATCGGTCAATCCTCTAAGCGCTGAATAGCTCCGAGACATGCATGGTTTGGAATATTAAGACGCCGTAATTGGCGGAAATACGACATCGAATGCATCCCATATATCCTTCTCGGGCAACAGAATTCCAGTAACATGAGACCCTGAATGCTGTACAGGCCCGCGCGTTCGGATTGACATCAGATCTTCAACCTTGACTGTATCCCGTAGGCAAAAGAGATGAAGAACATTCAAAATATAACTTGAGATCTGGGTAAATATTTAACTGGGGTTATTGACTATGTACACATTCTAATCAATCAATATAACAAAGTCGAGTCCAGCACTGAGATGGCTCAATATCTAGGCAACCGCCTCCCCCTCCCCAAAGAATGCTGTCAAAATAGAACAGAAAATACAATATGCTTATGCATGCTGTCTAGAATGTGCAAGGTAGGCAACATAACGACCCATATGCAACACTTGCTCTGCTAATCAGGTAATTGGATGAATCCAGTCAAGGTGCAAGCATTGCTCGCCTGGGTCGGTCAAATCCCCAGGTGCAACTAAGGCTAAGGCTTGTGATCCCCGCTTCTAGTCTGATCAATAGCCACGTGAGCGGGTCTCTCTGATTCACCGGGCTGAACTAGATGAACAGGTCTCTCCGGCTCATCGGGTTGACCCACGCCGGGCTGGTGGGACGGCGAACGAGGACGGATCACCGAACCACCAATGCCAAAGAATGGTGGGCGAAGGTTTGCACTTCGGAACCCACGCTTGCGGCTGCGGTAACTCACATCCTCTCCCGTCGTAAGAGGTGTGGCCGTGCTGTGCGTGTGGCTGGTATTCGATATGGGGACCGGTTCACGCTCCTCGTATGCACTGGTGCTGATGACGCTAGAGATGGTTGCTGGGAGGTTGTACCCAGCCTTTCCGATGGGTACTGATAGGCCATGCACAACCTGAGCTTAGTTAGAATATGAATAAGATGGGAGGATTTGGGGAGACTCACAATACTGCAGATTACTAAAAACCATACCACGACCTGAACGGTCTCCATAATGTGCTTTACGTCTTCTGGGACTTCGCCGTCGACTTGGATCTTGCGCAGGAATTCAAGGCTGACTGACAGGTAGAAAATGGCGCCCACTCCGATGGGACCGAAGAAGCCGACGAATGCAGCCTGGGAGACAAGCTCAATCTGAGGGATCCATTTGTGCATGACGAAGACAATAGGGAGACGGCGGACTAGGAGAATCAATATTCCCAGAAAGATGAGCCGATGGATTGGGATCACGCTGTTGTTGAGGAAGGATGACCACGGGCAAACTGCTCCGAACCACATGAAGACAGACAAGTTGAGAAGCATGTCGATTGTCGGTTGGAGGGAATCGTCCATGGTTTCAAGGCGGAACCAGTCACTGTCTCTATTAGCATTGGTGGTATCATAGCGCGCGTCGGGGTTACCTACTCTTGTGTGAATACGTTCCCAGCGATGAAACAGGCAAGGAGGTCATCTGTCCCAATCAGACCACAGGTTCCTACAATGAATAGCTATTCGAATTATCAGCAAAGCACCCATTTTTTTCAGGTTGGGGGAAAACTCACTGCAAGAGCAATGGCAAACACCAAAAAGCTCTCCCGGTCAACATAGCGCTTCTCCTCAGCCCAGTGCAACAACTTCCTCGCAATCCAACCGATCAAAGTCCCATAGACTACACTCAAAATAATGGTATATACCCATGTCTCATAGAACCACAAGGCCATCGCCTTCCCCGCACCACCACTATAGCTCTGGCTTCCCATTCCAGTATACTGGACGAGATAAATCGCAAAGAAAAGGAACGGGTACCCAAGGCCATCGTTGGCACCAGATTCAGCGATAATAATTCTCTGCAGCTCACGGGGAACATGCTTATCGGCAAACTTGCCCTTGACAATTGAATTGGATAGAACGGGATCGGTTGGGGTCACGCATGCGCCGATGACCAGAGCATGGAGGAATTTCAAGTTCGGAACCATGGCCCAGATCACTAGGCTACTGCACATCCACATGGCAGCCATGCCTGGGCCAAGGAGTAGCCCTAGGCTCCGCCATTCGATCTGCAGGTACCGCTTTGGGAGTTGGACTCCAGCAAGAACTAGTTGTACCCCCAGGACTAGGCGGGTAAAATGCAAGGTGATTGCCTCGAGGTTTTCTTCAGAGTGTAGTGCATAGTCTTCTGGTCTAATGAAATTGGCTGCATGGGGAGAGAATACCACTCCGGCGAGCAGGGAGATTACTATTTCATGTTAGCTAATGGGGTGATACCACCGAGGACTTAACACTTACATGCTTCGGATAGGTAGAACTTCTCCTTGCAAAGATAGGATACTAACCCAAAGAGGGAAATGAACCCCCCAAGCGTCGCGCAGACGATGTTGAAGTTGATCAAGGCGAGTGTCGGCATTTTGCTCTGCAGGATACTCTTCAGTCGTTCTGGGTTGTAGCTAGAAGCAATAAAGACTCAAATATATCAACTACCTAGGTAAAGTAGCAGGTCGGATTCCAAAAGAGTCAGATCAGTGAGATCTAGAGTAGAGTCTGAGATTAATATCTGTGTCAAGGTTGAAGTACAAGCAAATGTTATTGAATCATAGTTTGAATCTCCTGTGTGATTGTAGGCAATGTCATCTGGGGGGTGTTGGAATAAAGCAAAGAGCAATTGTAGGAGCCCATAGAGGTGATGTGAAGAGGAGATTTCTGAGGTTGTGGAAAACGTCTTAGGCTTAGAGGTGGTCTTGGCAACACCCTACACGATGTACATACTAGAGACTACATCTTCCACATTCCAATGCTAAGTGCGGGATCTTTTCTTTGTTTTGCAAATGCTTAAAAGTCTTCATCAAACACTTCATCGGGTATCTCTTGAGCCACATGCAGCGCCTCGGCCTTAGCGGATACCCCCCTTTGGGCTCCATTGACGGCTAATTTATCGGCTTCTTCATTGCCAGGGTCTTGATTATGACCTTTAACCCATTCAAACAAGGTCTTCACCTTGAGATCATTGCGTTCCTCGATTTTGATCAGAATAGACTCAATCAGATCCTTGTTCTCAACCGGCTTCTTGTCCCGGGTCGTCCAATTATTACGACGCCAATTGATAAACCACACGGTAACGCAATCAATAGAATATCGACTATCGGTGATAATGGTTACATCTCGGTGCCGAGGCGCAATATCAATCGCCCGAAGGATCGCGGTCAATTCCGCGCGCTGGTTTGTTTGGCGACTGCCTTTTAGTGGCTCCGATACGTTCCTGCTAGGATAAGTGATGGAAGTTAGAAGGCGTGGCTGGATAGTAGCCCAGCGGGCGAATGTACGAACCTTGAATCCCCAGGCCCGAAGAATACCCCTACCCCAGCCGATGCTAATGGGGTACCATTCCTTAATGAACTCCCATCGGTGTATATCCGGAGCATCCCTGGGATACCTGTTGATTGTGTCTTGGTCGCTGCCATCTGGGGGGCAGTCTTGTACACCACCTTACCAGTGGCGGGGTCTAGGAGGACGTTGGGATCAAACCCGTCCTCAGCTCCTGCCGGCAATGGACCGTCACCTGGCGCAAACTCAACCCCTTCTGCATCTTTCGGTTTTTCGGTCGTTATCCCATGAGGCCCTGAAGGCTCGGTTGCCACGCCGAACCCGACTGGGGGCTGAGTCTGTCCTTCCCGTACAAATTCCTCTGCCTCTTCGCGGGTGGAGAACTTGCGATATCGAGGTCGCGGAAACCCGCGAATCTGCTCCTGTGCCGTTGTCCAGTCTGTGTATACTCCAGTAACCCGGCCCCTTTGGATTCCATAAAATCGTGTGTTCTCCGAGCTCTGCGACGCGGCAGGGAGCTTGATGCCGTTCAAAAACGCATTGGCTTCCTCTTGTGAGGGAAATGATTGGACTAAAAGGCTAATGTGTCAGTCCGCAGGTAAATGGGGGCGCCTATTGGAGAAACCACTGCGAGAGATGTGCACTCACAAATCGCTCCCTTGAATCCCGTTATCTGAGCCAGGCAGTCATCCCACCCATAGTAGATACCCGGTTTGTGACCTGCCTTGACAGCATAGTATTTGGCCGCGGCGTTTCTCTTGCGCTTGGTGCCTGCGGTCGGCGAGGGAGAGGGTTTCGAGCCTGGCGAAGCTTTGGGGACGGGGCTCGGCGAAGGTGTAGTCTTATTCATGGCGGATTGATTGTCGCAAAGGTTCAATTCGAGAATTCTGAGGGTTGGAGGAGCAGGGAATAGGCTCTTGGGGGTCTCGGTCAGGAATTCACGATGCGTTGTATTCGTCGCTGGGCGGACAGGAATTAATCGAGCAATAAATCGCGGGCAGCTCAGAAGGGAACTCCAAGGTCCCAACTTCAAGGCTGACCCAAAACGGCCGTGAATTTTGATTTTTCTCAAAGGTGTGTAGTTGTGGCAGAGAAGAGAGGTAGATGTCGAAGGTGAATTGAGAATTAAGAAAATAAAGAGGGGTGGAAGGGGGGATACTCAATTCGGCCTGCCAGCGTTTGACGATCTTGATCTGACAATTTTCTATTTTGGAAGGAGACGTTTGATTTGATATTTAGTTGGGTAGACTTGATTAGTCTTGTTTTTATGGTGTTTGTGCTCATCGTAATGTTTTCACATATATATATCTTATATCAGTATACATTGTAATAAGCCCGATATATTGATTTAACAAAACCACAAGAAATTAAACTACTAAGATACTATCTATATATCAAGTTAAATCCCAGCCTTCAATCGCTCTACTATCATGTCCACCTCCTGCTGGGTAGACCGTATGACATGCTCAACAGAGACTACCGCATTGATACTTCCAATACTCGCACCCCTATTAAAACCATTAATAAAGAAAGTCCAAGAGATATATAATATCCAGGCCAGATATACTCACGCCCATACAGTCCTCCGTTGGTGTTCGCCAGCCTCTTTAGCCTCATTGTATCGTCGAATGATTTCCTCATCAGTGACGCCCTCCTGCGAATCCCCGTAACTAACACCGATGATAGCCCTGCCATCATACTGTCTCGGGAAGAGATCAGTTGACTGGAAGATATCATGTTGAATGGACTTGATGGTTGAGATCCCACCATCGCTTCTCGATACAATGGTCTGTTTAATTGTACACGGCGCAGGACATTCCGAGGTTGCAACAAACTGGACTCGATTGGCAATGGTTCATGTATATTAGAATGAGCAAGACTTACCCTTGTACCCATGACAATCCCATCGGCACCTATTTTTGTCAGTTAGCCGTAGGCATGAAGTACAGAACTGAACAACCGACCTAGGCCGAGAGCAGCAACACAGCCTCTCCCATCCACAATGCCACCAGCTGCCAATATAGCGGTGGTTGTATTCTGGGCCTTTGATAGGAGATCTCGCACCTCAGGCAAGAGGGATATCAGACTAGCACCCTGGGCCCACTGGTGTCCTCCCGCATCGCTTCCTTGAACCACCAGAACATCTACCCCCTGCCGAACTGCTTCTTCTGCAGCCTTGACAGTTCCTACCTGGACAAATATCCTGACATCCCAGTCAGAACTTTCCTGGACCTTCCGAATGGCCTGTATGATCGGAAGATGATCGGTGTCAGCCCGAGGAAAAGACAGCCAGACTGCCGCTACTCGGTGCTTTTGGAGCACAAGAATAGCATTTTCAATGAGTCCGTCAGGCTGGAAAGTAATGAACCCGACACCGAGTGGCAATGGTTGGTCATCGGTCAAACCAAGGATAGAACGAGCATTCGCCAACTGGGTATTAAGACCTCGAAGCTGGGTAGATTCAGATCGGAAATCAAAGCCTCCGCCAATAAATCCTATAGATGATCAGTCTAATGTCTGCAACCAGGTTGGTTTATCATACCGAATCCTCCGGACTTTCTGACAGCAGTGGCTAGATTGGCATCGGCAAACCCAAACATTGGGGCATTGGCAATGAATGGAGTTGTTGTATGGGGAAACCATTGCTTAAAATTTGCCATTGTAATATTGAGGAGGTGTGAAAGGGGACGACCTGAACAGTCTTACAGGTGGAAGATGCGGGGAATATATAGCGATAAAATAGGTACCTGTGGACGTGCACATAACTGTGTGGCTCTATAGATTATTCGAAAGTCGAAACACCTACGAAGTAGACTATAAGATTATAGATATTCATATGTAGTTGGATCAAACATGGCTTTTCTATAAAAACCGTGACTTTGTTTTTGGCTTATCATATTCAAAAATGCCTTTTCAGATATCAATCAGTTTCCTGGTCTAGCGGTTATGATTTTCCGTTAACAATTGTGTGAAGCAAGTGTTCCGGAAAGGTTCTGGGTTCGATTCCCAGGGAAACTATGTTTTTGGTCTTCCGAGTCTTTTTTGGTCGGTGGAGATGGGCTAGGGTGGCGATATAGTGGACTAACGGACTAGGACACTTTTTCTTCTTTGGAAAACATCATTGGAGTAAGTTGGATGGTAAGGGTATAATAAGAATCTAGGATTATATTCGAGATAAACACATTTTATATTCGGAAAGTATGAATCCGGTTGTTCGCCCTACAACCTCGCGCGGAATGCACGCCGTAAGGCTTCGAGACCAGTAGGGCCATCGTAGATCTGCTGTTCAGCAACACGGGTGTTGATCTAGGAGAAGTATTAGTAGACCAAAAAAGGAAGTGATAGGAGCTCACTTACATGTCGGACTCCTAATTGATCAATCCGCTCCACTCCAAGCAGCCGCATGCATGTCTTGATTTCATCGTTCAGAACTACCACAGAGTTAGAAATAGAGACGTATCAAATGCCCAGCCAACTTACTTTGCAATGTTCGACGAACACCGTCTACTCCACCCGCCGCCAAGCCCCACAGAGCCGGACGTCCAAGACCAACTGCCTTGGCGCCTAAGCAGAGAGCCTTGACAACATCTGTGCCACGACGAATACCCCCATCCACATACACTTCGATCTTGTCGAAGACCACAGGGCAGTATTTTCGGATCTCTAAGAGGGTATGAACCGCCGGAGGAGCAGTATCCGCGGCGCGTCCTCCGTGATTAGAGAGAATGATACCTTTAACCTGAGGTGCGTGGAGTGAGGCAAGGTATGCATCTTCATGAGTTTGCAGACCCTTCAAGACAACAGGCAAATCTGTTTGAGTGGCAAGCCAAGCCAAAGTCTTCGTCCATGTCAAGGAGGGGTCAGTGCCTGCAAACAATTGCTGGCCAACACCTCCAGATCCTTGGGTTGGGTTGGGGGTATTATCCGACGAGTGCTCGACCTCTTTCACGCCGCTGGGCACGGCGGTGGTTCGTCCGGTCATACCGGCTCGTTCATCCTCCTCGCGTTTGCCTGGAACCGGAGCGTCGAGGGTGAGGACAATGAACTTGATCGCCTTGAGCTTATTGATGCGTGCAAGCATCGTCTCGCTCTTTTTGCGGTCAATCTGAACATAAAGCTGCCAGCCAAATATTTGATCCGGAGCAGCGTCTTTGACGATCTGCTCTGGTGTCATGGAAGCGTTATTGGAGATGATTTGCATGGCTCCAAAGTTACGACACGCTTCCGCAATGCCGGCCTCACCAGATGGGTGTCCTAGACGGGCCATTGCCGCAGGAGACACGTAAATAGGCGTTTCAATTTTGTATCCAAGGACGGTTGTGTCCAGCTCACACTTTGTGCAATCCACAAAGACCCTAGGTCGCAAAAGAATGGACCGATAAACCTCATTATTGAAGTTTTTGCTGATTTTGTCGTCGGATGCGGAGTAATAGTACGCCCAGGCCTTCTTGCTCACTTGCTTAGTAGCAACCTCCTCAATCTCGTCCAAGTTGAGAAGATTCTCCATAGGGGGTGGCCCCTCAATCTCTTCCTGAGGTTCGGAGGATACATCCTTAGGCAAGGTGCTGGCATCAATTGTTCCTAAGCACGCCTCGGGCTTGAGTCCTTCCTCTAGTGTACCCGGTGGGTGAATGGGATCATACTCCTCGGTGGCATCCTGGCCGGCAAGTTTCAAAATGATCTTGGCACCACCGGGGTGGCTGCCCAGGAAATCGGTAACCTAGACAAGAGTCAGATGTGGCCAGGGAAGTGTATGCAATACACAATGGGTATCTCATAGCATGAAATCATACATCGTAGACCTTGCCGTATAGAACTACCCAGCAACTTTCAGGAGTGTTGTGCTTTGCGACTATTTCTTCAGTCAGTCGAAATATCCCGCGTGGGGGTCAGCGGTGCGGAGAACACATACCTTCTGTCGCATCGAATATCTTGGCCATTCTCACGGCGCAAGGATAGGTTGAGGGATAGTGTCTGTGGAGATTCGATATGAAGCACTTGGGGGGAGATATATAAGAGAGAGAGAGTAGATGGGAAAGTAAAGGGAAGAGAAGTGAATTGGAGAAGATACAGCTAGAGCGTGGGGAACGTCAGTAGCCGCTTTTCCTCGTTCGGCGATTTGGATTGCCGAGAAGGAATTGGAATCGAGTTCCACATTATTGGTGGAAATTATCATGGATATGATAAAATGCAAATAACTTCTGAAGAGAAGAGAAGAGTACGCGAACGATACTTTTCTTGATGTACAACGTATATATATAGTCTATCTAACATATGTAAAGATGATTGAGTCCACGTGAGAGCTAAAGGTGTCATCCGCACCCCTTCTCCCCTCCAGGACTCTCCTTCTCTCACATTTCCTGAAACCAACTCCTTGAAATTCGAGACAAGTTCGATATAGTCCCGTCCTTAATACTCTCCTATCATCTTTTCATTTTGGTGATTTCGCAATGTTTGAGGTATGTGTTTACCGAGAAATCTCCGGTCTACCCCATATTCTTCATATCTCCCATTTTACTTTACCATGTTGTCTGATTTCCTCAGCGTCGCGCAGCGGATCGTTATCGCCTTCGAATGCACCGAGCCCGCTCGGCAGTGCTTACCTCGGATGAAATGGTCGAGGTGCGCGCGGCCCAACGCACTTTTGAGGGGGCCTATGTCCGAACTGCGCTCTCTCAGTTCTCCTTCGCCCTCGTCGTACTGAAAATTTTCACCGCCGAGTTCTACAGCATTGGGGCTCTTTTCGCAATATATGGCACAGGTGTCCTCATCATTGGGCTTTTCCGTCGCTCACAGGGAAATAGACAGTTCTTCTCCGAAGTAGGGGAGGATGGAATCCATCGGCATAAATTCCGTACCAGTGGAAATGCAGTCTTGGTCTTGACGGCACTGAGTATTGCAGCATACGCATGCTTGATTGGTTTGACGTTGAACCTGAGCAACTGATAAGAAACATTCTGCGTGGTTGCACGCAATCCATTCACACCGTATTCAATATCCCTGGAGGCTATCTAGGCATCTGTGATCCCCCCCTGCGTTACCGCCAAGCGCCAAGGATTCCGCACCTGACCACGGGATATGTATTACCATTTCGGGGCTTACGGCAGCGGAGATCAGTGTGCAGCAACGGACGCCCACAGTTGGTCGGAGATCAATCTGTGTCGAAAGTTGCCAAGGATGCCGAGTATGGATCAGCTCGAGCGGTGAGACTCAGGTCACACAAGGTGTTTCCCATAATTTCTGGCGTCTTATCCATTGGAGGCTGAGTTCGATTCCAAACATGGGGGAAGTATGTGTGTACTTTGGTTGAGGCCATGTCTGAAAATGAGGTGGACACGAGAAACTCACGGCTATGAGTGATATCGCAGTATAAGGGGTGAGAGTGAGTATATGTTGTAGTTCCGACACTTTGTTTTTGGTGCTATGTGATGTTTTTTGAATCTGTAGTACCCCCATATGCTTTTAGTCCAGCATTATTGAAGATAGGACAATTGCTTGATTTTCATGAGACCTATCAATATGTGTGTAGGAGCTGTTTATAATCCAGCTGTTGTGAAAATCTGAATATCTCAGATTCTTACCCATTCTTCTTTCCCCCTTTGACATCATATATGGGCGATCTTTCAGCCATCGATCCACCCTATGGCCCAAGTCCACCTGCGTAATTTCATCATTTCAAAGCAGTTTCTCACTTAAAGTTGCATTTGAATGGTTCCTTGAACTACCTCGACATCCTTGGCACTTTGATATTATACTCCCACATGCAGAGATCAAAATTCACAAAATATATATCCTTGCAAAAAGAAGCCCAGATCCAAAACCCTGCCCAACCTCTTTGAATCCCTGGAATATCTCAAGTCTCCTTTGAATATCTCAGGTCACAACCGTGCCCCGGTGTTCCCGTTGGTTGACTCATCCAAACCTCCGACACTTTCTTTTCTCCCCCTCGACATCTTCTTTTTCTCTTCGAATTGTCTACCCAAGTTTCGTCAACTTGACGTTGTGAGACTTTGAAAGAGAGCAAAGCCTTTTCCTTTTTTTCTAAAAAATTCAAGCACACAAATAAGAAATATCCCCGCGGGGGATGGCGCAACATTCTAGCATTGCACGGTCGGCCATGACGTCGGCCTCCGAGACGGGGGATCAGAGAAATAATATTAAGCCCAACGGCGCGTCTAATGGCTCGGGATCGGGAAAAGAAGGAGTTCTTATGCCTCCGAAAACTGTGGTCAACCGAGCGCTAGGTAATGACTTGCATTCCGATTCCCACAAATCTTCACTGCCGCCTAAGGGCGGAGTCGGAACGGCCTTGACAGACACTCCGGTTTCTACCGCACCTCCGTCTCCACAGATGTAAGTCTGGTTTCCGTTTTTTTTGTCTAGACCACTTTGGTCTTTGCTATAGACCTATCGGAACGAGGCCAGTATGATCGGCAACATGATACGGAGTGATCACTCCTGTCTGAGGCTTTTTGCAGCGTTATCATGAGCTTATCTACTTTGCCCCGGAACCTAGTCCACCTCTTAACGTGTCGCTTTTACGTTTGCTTGTGACTTTCTTGGATGCGCTTGGCAAATTGTGACTAATCTGATACTTGTAGATCGGGTCTTTACCACCCTCCTGGTACTCCCGGTCGAGTGCGAGCAACTACTCTCGATATTCCCGGATTGACCAAATCCAAGGTGTCTCCAGATGGCCGCATCGCCCAGCGGGATGTTGGTGCAAAGCTTGTTATTGTCATGGTCGGCCTCCCGGCCCGAGGCAAAAGTTATATCACCAAGAAGCTGGCCCGCTACTTGAACTGGCTCCAACATGATACCGAAATCTTCAATGTTGGACAGCGTCGTCGTGTGGCCGCTGGAAAGTCCCCATCACCTGCCCCGATTGATCGCCAGGATCGGAAACCAAGTGCTTTCCACAAGGATCTCGTGGACTCAGTGCGCCGGCTGAGTGTCAGCGTTGGCACGACTTTGAACCCAGCAGATGTCTCCCCGCCAGAGAATGAGGCACCACTTCCCCCTCCAGTAGTACCAGCCAAGATTCTCGTGAATGGAGAAGAGCCTGAACAAGTTTCTCAAAACGGAAGTACTGTTGTACCTTCGGTCGATGCGGGCCCTGCACAATCTCGTGAGAATGAAGGAGCTATCAATGAAGCTTCCCCTGAACCAATGGATCAGACTGCCAGTTTCTTTGATCCCCAGAATCAGCGTGCTGTCAAGATGAGAGAGCAGGTCGCGTTGGATACTCTTGATGAGTTGCTTGAGTACATTCTGGAGGAAGGTGGCAGTATCGGTATCCTTGATGCGACTAACAGCACCATGGAACGCCGCAAAGCGATTGTGGACCATATTCGCAACCGCGCTGGCCCTGAGCTAAACATCCTGTTCCTCGAGAGCAGCTGCGTGGATCAAGATTTGCTTGAGGCCAACATGCGCCTAAAACTCTCCGGTCCCGACTATAAAGGCCAGGACCCAGTCGCGGCACTTGAAGACTTCAAGAAGCGTGTTGCTCTGTACGAAAAGTCTTACGTGCCCCTCGGCGAATACGAGGAGAAGCATCGTATGGCTTACATCCAGATGATCGACGTCGGTCGTAAAGTCGTTGCTCACCAAACTCACGGTTTCCTTGCTTCTCAAGTTGTCTACTACTTGCTCAATTTCAATCTTTCTCCGCGCCAAATTTGGATCACTCGACACGGCGAAAGCTTAGACGATGCCGCAGGCCGCATCGGTGGTGACTCTGACCTTAGCGAGAACGGGAGAAGATATGCCAAGGCATTGGCTCGCTTCGTGGATCACCAACGGAAGCAGTGGGAGGCATATCAGCGACAGAAAGACCTTCTCGCGCACTTCCCGCCTCGACCCGGTGACAGCACACCTCCCAACCCATCTTATATTCCTCGGGAAGGGCCACGCAACTTCTGTGTCTGGTCCTCAATGATGCAACGCTCAGTTCAAACCGCCGAATACTTCAACGAAGAAGATTACGATGTTAAGCAGATGAGGATGCTAGACGAGATCCATTCCGGCAGGATGGAAGGTATGACATACAAGGAAATCCAAGAGCAGTACCCCGAAGAATATGCCCACCGCAAGAAAGATAAGCTCTTCTACCGATACCCCGGACCAGGTGGAGAAAGCTACCTCGACATCATCAATCGATCGCGCGCAGTCATTGTTGAGATAGAGCGTACTACCGATCATGTGCTCCTGGTCGGGCATAGATCCGTTGCTCGCGTGCTCCTGGCCTATTTCCGTGGTCTGAAACGTGACGAGGTTGCTGATCTCGATGTCCCGCTGGGCGTCCTGTACATGCTTGAGCCCAAGCCATATGGGGTAGATTTCAAGGCCTACCGCTATAATCCTGAGACTGATTGGTTCGATTATCTTCCCAATTATGAACTGCATCAGGTCAAAGCACAGACGACCCACTGAATGCCCGTTGAATTTGAACATGGAGTTTTAAAATTCCATGACTTGCTACGATCTATCATGACTTCTTTTGCGGAATGACTTGGCCGGGAGTTGAGCCTCTGGTCATTCATAATCGCCATTGCACTTGCATTTTTTTCCTCGTTGCCCTTTCTGCTCTTTATTGGGCTGTATCCTTGATTTTCATTTCCTATTCTCATCTTGATTGTGTATTATCAATGCCTTTTTTCTCTCCACCTTGTTTTTTGACTTCTCCTTTCTCTTTCTCTTTTTTTTTTTTTTTTTTCTCTTTTGCAGATGACCTAGACACTTCTTGCATGACAGGCCTTGAATTTGTGTACTTTCATGACCTGGGATGCTCGCTAGCTGTATGGGCTGGAAGTGACAGGTCACCAAGAGTGTCCCTGCCTCAATATTCCATGTGCAGATATGACACGAAATGCACCAAGACTGAATCAACTACGCTTTTGCTTGATAAACCGAATAGTTTCACTTGCTATGGTGTGTC